ATTCCAATTTGTTTCGATTTTGAGCTGTTAGATTCTTTAAGACATTTTTTCAGTTGTCTATCGCAGGAACAGGACATTCTAAAAATATAAGGTCAGTTTTTATGCGTATAAAAGGTCCGCCATTTAATTTTTTCAGCAGCCATTTAAACTTTTTTGACCGCCAATTAAAAGTCAGCTCTGAGCCGCCATTTAAAAGTCGGCCAAACTCATGAGTTAGGCAGCCATTAAAATGAAATATATAGCATTATTAACCGGAAGGATTGTACTCAAATAAAAAAGAAATTTTAGAAAGTATTCAGTAGTTTTTTATAGCATTCTCAAAATAAGTTATTTGGAGGACCTTGTATAAATAAATTTTAAATTTGGGATTAACCTTGTAAACGGCGATGTGTTTGTTAAATTGTATTTTATTTCATTTGGCAACATAAAATGTTCGCACATGTCATGTTGCATACAGCATTCGTCGACTTCTGTATAAGCTCCTAAGCCGTTAAAAATGAAGTTGCTTGTTCCTGGTCCGCAATATGCAGTTCCTTAAAAAATTAGAACATAGATAAATATTTTTACTAAAACGACTTAGAAAAAATAACCAAATATTCTGATACTTATAATATTTAAGCATATGTCTATATAACGTTCAGAGAAGTCTGAGAGACGTCAAGTCTTAACGGTTGAGTCATAATTAACTAACGGTTAAGTCGTAATTAACTAACGACTTAACGGTTTAAGTCATAACTAACTAACGACTTAACGGTTAAGTCATAATATCATGTTGACAACTTCACGCACGTATTAACCAAATTTAATTTTATTAATAAATTTACTAATAAATAAATTCTACTAATAAATACTCTTCATTTATCTATGAATAAATACATACATCATGTATGCATTTATTAATTAAATTAAATTTATTAATAAAATTATATTTGCATGTATGATACATGCTATCTATTACAAGTAGACTGATATACCAATAATAGTTAACATCAATGTCTGAAAAAATGTAAATATTGTATGATTCTATAAATAGTATATCAAGGACAGAAAGATTATTTATTTTGCATTTGTCTCTAGAATAATGACAGTTATTAAATGCATGTTACCACACATAGTGTGTACAATAAAATTAGAATGAAAAGTCGATCAGTTTAGTTATAAAAAATCGAACATAATGCATTTGTTAAAATGCAAATATCTATTATTATTTACCAGGCCATGTTAATTTAGTTTCGCCCCTCGTATTATTGAAAATATAATCATTATCTTCATAAAACATAAAGTCATCTTCTTCACTTGTATAATTTTCACTAAATATAACATCTAAACTAATCACAAATATTAAATAAATGAATTTTAGTTTAATCATCTTACAAAATTATTAGGTACTTATATATCTATTTAAGCACGGAACTTATATACGACTGAAATTCGAGTTCAAATAGAAATCTCGCTCTACATATTTATATTTATTTAAATAATTAATATGTTTCAGTGAAATGTTTTTGATTTTTCTCTAGTTGTGTGAACACGAAAATTTTAAATTTTATGCTTTATTGTGTGTAGATGCTCTGTCACTTTCAATTTGCAATTTTGAAGATTTAGAAATATAGAAGATGGAACATGGTTTTTGTAGTTGGTGGTTTTTAAATATAAAAGCATTGTTAACTTTCCGTTATAGTAATGGGCCAAAAATTAAAATTGAAAATGTTTGCATTTCTAGATGTTTTGAAGGTTTCTGAACATTTTGGCACACCTCAGAAAAAAGGATGTGTGTGTGTGTTTTGTATGTGAATTTTTTCGCCACGTTTTCGGGCGCATGGATCAACCTATTTAAATGGTTAAAAAAATTCGATTCCTATTGATAGGAACATGTGCTGATTACTTTTTGACAAAGGCAGGTCGAGCCGTTAGGGAGATACGGAGCAAAGAGTGGAGAAAATAGAAATCGAGTTTTTGAGAGAACGGAGCATCCGATTTGAATGATCCAAAAACTATTAAATTCGTTATGACGGGGAGAAGTGGTGATTAGTTTTTGGCAAAGGCAGGTTTAGCCGTTTCGGAGATACAGAGCTAAATGTGCGAAAAATTGCAGTTTTTGAGAGAACTAAGCGTCCGATTTGAATCATTCAAAGAACTTTCTGTCTGTTTCAACAAAATAATTGCTTTTGAAAGAAAAAAATTTTTTGTTTCCAGTTTTTTTTTTCAAAAAAATTTTTTTTGTATATCGAAAATAATTCAAACAAGATAAAACATTTAATATTCCTCGATCATTTCGTTACGGTACGGGAAGTTCCAGCAATTTGCCTTGAGCCACGTTGCCATACACCATTATTTAATAATTTATCTTCGCAGACTTTTGGACAGCACATAATGCCTCCATACAGTGTTGCTAACATTAAAAAAAAAAAAAAATGTTTACAAGGACATTTTATCTTATATACCTGTAAGCCCTGTCCTACAGGTAGTTCGATTATAAGTTGCATCAAGGTCATTTTCTCTGGACAATATAATTTTATTTGTCATTTTCCGTTTGGTAGTCAAAGACCACATAAAGGGTTTTGTCTTCTTGATAATATTTGTTAATAAGTTGAAGTTTCTTAATAATTTATTAAATCGACGTGAATTGATTATTAAAATGATAAGCGGACGAGCTTTACATTTTGTTTTTAAAATACCAGAAAGAAGACTAACCTATAAATTCTATAAGGATGTACTCGGAATGAAGGTGAGTTCTATTGCATTATTTTAAATTTTATAAATACTTTGTTAAACAATTTTTATTTTTCTTAAGGTATTGCGTCATGAAGAATTCAGTGAAGGTTGTGAAGCCGCTTGCAATGGGTAATAATAACCAAACATTTATCTTTTTTTAAAGACATATAAAGATTTATTTATAAAGTCTATAGTTTTCCTATATCCTTTCCCCTTCAGCCCCTATGCAAACCGCTGGAGCAAAACAATGATTGGTTATGGATCAGAAGATGATCATTTTGTAATCGAATTGACTTACAATTATGGAATAAAAAGCTATGAAAAAGGTAATGACTTTAGAGGCATCACAATCAGATCTCGTGAAGCTCTTGAGAGAGCAAAAGCAAATTCTTGGCCTATTAAAGAGGAAAACGGTCTCAAATATTTGGAAGCCCCAGGAGACTATAAGTATTACATTTTGGATGAACCACAGCCTACTGATGCTGGTAATAAATGAATCATTTATTATGGGAATAAGATCATGAATTGTACTGTAGATGTTTTATTACAGATCCAGTGGTGAAGGTTTCATTGTCATGCTCTGATTTGCAAAATACTGTTAATTATTGGAACTCGATTCTTGGATTAAAAATGTATGAAAAAGATGATGCAGCTAAAAGAGCTGTTTTTGGTTTTGCTGATAATCAAGCTAAAATTGAATTCAATCAAGTCAATGCTGTTGACAGAGCAAAGGCTTATGGAAGAATAGCATTCTCTTGTCCATTTGCTCAACAAGAAATTATTGATAAAACAATCAGGGATAATAATCAAACAATTCTTACTCCTTTGCTTGTTTTGCCAACACCAGGAAAGGCTTCTGTAAGTTTATGAATAGTTTCAGCAGGCTAAGTGAATATTTCAATGATTTTTTTTCTTGAAGGTAAGAGTTATCATTCTTGCTGATCCTGACGGTCATGAGATTTGTTTTGTGGAAGATGAAGGCTATCGTAAGCTTTCTGAGTTTGATCCCAAGGGTGAAGAGCTTCTTGAAAGATATATTAAAAAAGATTGAAAAGTTGATATGGCACATGGGCTCAACTATTATTCAAGTATTCTACTATATATAAAACGTAATATATTATTTTTATACATTATATTTGTTATTTTATCTTATAAAAATATTTATCTAAATTGAATTTCATTGGTTTGAATTTAGTGGTTAGCTCCTTTCCTCTTCTTTTTCCATTTATCATCAAGATACATTAATTTCTTATTGGAACTTTTTATTGTTTTTTCATGTTGCTTCAAAACTATAAAATTAAAGCTTTAATTTAAGTAAACTAGATGATTTTTGAACCCAATTCAAGGTTTATTTTCATAATTAGCTTATAAATATTTACAAATCTTATATAAAAATAAATATAAAATACATTTATATTAATTTCTAGCCTAATACTAAATTAATCACGAATTATAAATTGATCTACTACTTAATCGTAATCTTAAGTCTGCTTTATCAAACCCGGGTTTACTGAAGCTTCTGCTTCTTCTTGATACTTTGCTTTCCTCATCAGAATTTGATAAACTACTTTCAGATGTGTTATTTCTACGTCTTTCTACTAAATTTGTAGAGATTTCTGAAGCCAGTAACGGTTTATGGTCAGGTTCATTTTTAATAACATTTATTACACTACCATATTTTCCCATTATAATGCCATCCTCGCTCTTTGTATCTGAATAATCTGACTCATATTGATAATCATCTACATAACCACCCAGTCGGTCTTTAACATCGGGTTTAATTTTAGGTTTGTTGTCAGAATAAGTTTCAACAGTTCTAGTAATGCTATTATAATCGTGATCGTCATATTCAGTTGGTGTTATGTGATTTTTAGGTTTTAGTTTTTTCAAACGTTTCTCTTCTTCATCTGCATACATTTTCATACGAGGTATTTTAATTCTTTTATGAATGTCTTCAAAATTATCACTTTCTTCACTGAAATCTGATGTATTCTGGATATTGACAAGGGCTTTCTTCTTTCCAATTCTATTTTTCAAAGCTTGACTTATTTTGGGGTTCGGTCTTTGGCTGAAATTAATAATAAACAATTAAAATCAAATAAACTTCTATACAAATTCTATATATTACCTATGATCATAATTATCTTCTGAGTCTGCCCACATCCTTGAAAGATCTCCCCATGGATTCTTTTTACCACCGGTTTCATTATCTGTATTGTCATAAAATTGTTTGCGTTTCCTATCAGTAATAACACCTTTCAAGCCACCATAGTTTGGATTACCATATTTTTTGTAATAATGACTTGCTTTTTCTGCTTTCAAACATTTTTTATCTTTGGTAGTTGCATACCGCATCAATAACTCTTTAGCATTAGGCCAAGGGGAGCCCAATCTCCAAAATCCAGGAGGCATTGGGGTTTGTATTGATGCTACATCTGTAATAGAATAATTATGTTATATTTTGTACATATGTAACAGTATTTGAATAATTTATTACCCTCAATGGCATTAGACATTCCTTTCAAGGCTCTAGCAGCTGATGATTTATCAAGCCATACAACATTACATGAATAATCATTTATCCATTCAATTGTTGCAGGACCGTAAAGTTTAAAGTATTGAAAAACATCTTCAGTACTCATTTCTTCAGTGCCCCTTAAATGCACAGCATCAAACCTGATACTTGGATCATCCAAGGGTTGCGTAATGCCCAAACTTGAATATAATTCATTAATTTGAGCATCGGTTAAAGCTGTGGTACTGCTGGGATCAATATTAAAACGTTTAGCTCTTTCATTCAACTTTTCTTGAGTGTTAGCACTAAATATGTCTATGCCTGGGAAAGTGATAATCATGAATTAAAAGGTATTAAATCTCTTATTTTTACAAGTCAAATTAAGTTTATTACCTGTAGTAAAGATATCCTTTTCATTATTCTCATAAACTCTACATGGAAGGTCTGAAATGTCCTCAGCAATTTCGCCATCTTCAATTTCATTTTTAGATGTGTTTTCAAAATCAATTTCCATTAATTCAGCAGCCATAATTTAAATAATAATTTAATCGTTTTAATTAAAATTTAAATTAAAATTAGTTAACTTATGTTAAATTCTTAAAATAGCTTTCATAATTTTCTCTATATGAGCATGCCGTGGTAACACAAATGTCAAATGCAAAAATTTGATGGCTAGTGCTGCCATATCGGAAATTATAACCTTATTCGAACTAATTTCTGGGGTTCAAAATTGAGCGCTAATTTTTAAATACCAAATTTGATATTTTAAAAATAGACTTCAATATTATTATAGTAGTTTATATATTTTAATATATAGTTGCAAAGATTATACTTTAACAAAAACCTACTAGATAAAGAGACTCTATAACTTAGATTGAAGACACTATTGCTTTCTTCTCTATATGATACGCATTACCCTAAAATTAACCTTTGTTTGATCGTTCTGGCCTTAATAATATCTAAAATATAATTTGGAATCTCATATTATTGCAAATATATGTAATACATTCAATTTTTTTTAAACAATTTAATTATAAATTTCCCGTAGGGCAAGTTTATTCTTCGTATATGCGGTAGTGTACTTCCAGGCACAATATTTATGCGTTCAATTTATTAATTTATAAATTGAAGAAAAACAGTATTTATTAAATTATATCTATTTAAAAAAATATTATTATTCTTATTACAAAGTTCTTTATGAAAAACTGATAAAGTCACCTCTGAAAAGCTTCTGCAAATATTTTCCCATAGAGTAATTTCTAAATGCCTTTGCGCTTCTCATTTTTTGTTTGATTTTGATTTGATAATTTTTGATTTACCAGAACTCTTGTTTTTTAAAAGTGTAACAAATTAATGAAGGAAATTGATTAGATTAATCAGTGGTGACAGTTATTCACATAGAAACATGAATCTGTTATAATTATGATTAGGATAGCAGCGCCACTGGTGGCGTTTATTATAGAACTAAAACAAAATTAAATTTTTATAAATTAATTTAATGATAAAATAACATATAGAATAAATTATCTTAATAATAACTTGTTGATTCTAAATCTTGTTGCTTATGATTAAGCACAATGTCATATTGAAAATTGAGTTCTTGTTCTATATTTTGCAAAAAACATGTAAAAACCAATAAATTGTATAGCAAATTGGTACAGTTGTCAATCCTGCATACCGGGATACAAAAAATCATTTGAGATTTAATTATTATTTAATTTCGGCAAATATTCAAAATATTCTTAATATTCAAAATATTCTACTTAAATTTGAGGATATGTTTTATTTTCTCAAAACTTGCAATTGGCAAAAAATAGTCAACGGATTTATATTTTATTTTTATAATATCCTTGAATATATAAAATTTTGTCACTTCTTTGAGAAATTAAAGACGGTTAACTGATTAAAATAAATATTATAATTTACAAACTATAATCAAGAAAAATTCGGGGCGCAAGGTGGAATTCCGGGACTTTTCCGGGACACCCGGAGTATGGTCATGTAAGGTAATGATGTTTTTTTTCATGCTTCATTGCTATTAATGCATAAATATTAAATATATTATATCATTTATTTAAACTTTTTTTAATTTCCCGTAGGGTAAATTAAATATATCGTTAAATTTTACCAGTGTGAATATTGATTCATCCAAGAACGATTTAATAATCACACCTCTTATTCACTCAATTATTCAATTTATTTTTGGCCGGTACACCAAAAAATATAAATTCACGTTTTTTCCATTACGAACAACTAACGTTTCCATTAGAAACTACTAATAAATTTAAATAAAAATTGTTAATAGGTAGTAGGTTATGAATATAAGTATTTGAAATAAATTGAGAGTATTGTATAGCGGCTTACAAGTTTTTACAATCTGCGTTTTAGAAAGTAATTTATTATCGAGACAATTCAAAATTATATTTCATGATTTTAGTTCTAATTTAATATTTGAATGTATTTCTACCAAACCGGTATTTCTATGATAGGACAAGGTCATCTCGTAGTTGACCTTGTCTGCTGAGTAGTTCCCACAGTTTTCGGGAAAAAAACAACCAGAAGTCAAAATTTTTATTTTCGATTTTTGGCCCATTACTATAACTTACCCTACGGAAAATTAATATTAAAAAAAATACTTTCATACCTTATCAATAATTCCTTTTTAACTTCCCTTAGGGTAAGTTATTGTAATCGTCCTAAAATCGAAATAGAAATTTTTTACAAATGTTCAAATGTTTAAACAAAATGTAAACATTTTGGTATACCTTAGAAAAAAATGATGTGTATGTATGTATGTATGGATACAATTTTGTCCACGTTTTCGGGCGCACGGATCAACCGATTTGAATGATTCAAAAAACATTTTGCCTTAAGGCGGTGGAATTTGATCTATAAAATGTTTTATAGTATCTGTAATATTACTTGTGCAAATCGAGCTGACAATAGATGAATAATTTTGAATTTTGATATTCATATTCATGTGAGTCATTCTATTATTGTCATATGATTCATTTTAGTTTCTATTTATCATTATTTGCATCCTTGTCGCGTTTTATTATTTCATAAGAGAAAGTTATTTCTCCGCGTAGGTTTTATTCAAATGCGTTTTATTTTCATATACAAGACGCGTGTATATGAAGCTAATATAAGACGATACCTAGTTTTATAGTAATATATTCATATAGGTTATTTTTTTGATCCGGTTTTCGGCTCTCATTCTGTAAAATATCAGGTCACTTCCGATTTGTACTAGTTAGGCTATAATATTTCCAGAATCTATAAATCAGGGATCACCTGTAGGGAATGGACTCAGGGCCGAATTAATGAAGAAAATCTTTCTCTTCGAATCACTAGTAAAATAATTTAGATTCATAGAAGTTCTAGTGCATCATTAATGTAGAATCGTCTGAAGACTTTAGCAATATATAATATTTATTTATTTACATTTGCTTATTAACTTCCCGTAGGGTAAGTCATTGTAATCGTCCAAAGATCTAATTTGAAATCTTTGCATATCTTCACGTTTTAGAGTTTTACACTGAAATAAATTATTTTAACTTTGCAATTTAGTTCATATAATTCCTAAAAATATGAGATAATGCCCTTTATTCTAATTTCATTGTTTTGTTTATTTACTTCTAATGAGAATTTATATATATATATATATATATATATATATATATGTTTGTTTGTGTGTGTTATACACTATTTTAACAAAAGAACAGCCAATGACTATAATAACTTCATTAGAAAGATGACTTTGAGAAAGTAATGACAATTGATTAATCAAAATTATTTATATGTTGTAAATATAATAATGATTGATGGTTTATATATGGTGACAGTTTACTATTATTACTTTATTAACAAATATTTGATTTTGAAATTATTTATAGATTCTATATCAAATTGAGCATCCACTTTCCCAGAAATTAAAATAAAGGAACTTCTTACTTTAAAACTTTTTTAGTACTATTTATTAAAAGTTTGATTGAAACTTCTATACTAGTTTTATATCCGCATTCTCTTAAAATTTTTTTCAATGTCTTTAATATCCATTTGATAATCACAGTAAACAATTATTATTAAGCTTTTTGTATTATTTATTAATTAACTTATCTCATTTTCAAAACTTACTCAACTGATTGATACACTCTGTCTTAAGGAATAGAATTTTCTTTTTTATTTTTATGAAAAATCAAGTTCTTGAAGCATATAATTGTTCTTTATAATATATTTTAACGTATGTAATTATTATATTTAACGTAATTTTTTTATTGCAGAAATGCCAGAATGGATTTTATTACTCGGAAATATTACATCAAGTATTAATGGGCATTCAACCTTATTGCTCCTCCTTGTCTAAAAATGATCTACCACCTTAGTAATATCAGGTAAGTCTACTTTTCATATATTATAAAAAATATTTTTTCCGATAATATTAAATTCTGCAAGAGTGCATCTACTTCGTTCCTAATATTTCCATCGTGGCCCCATTTTCTCGGAGCCCTAGGCGAGTAATTATAGGTTAATCCGGCTCTGCATGAAGTGCATTTCCTTTCGAATATCGCATACCTATTAAATATGTATCAAACTTTCACACAAAACACAAATATCACATTCGTATAGTTATAGTAGCAGAATACAACCAGACCATGAAATAACATTCTCCTGAAAATTTAGTTTTTTTTATATAAACAATAGTGACTTTCTTTTTTATTGGCATAAGATTTTATGAAAAAATTGTTTACGTGGAAATGTAATAAATGTATTTTCATCAAGCACTAGAAAGTACTTGAATAATGTAGATTGAAATTATCTCTTTATTATAAAATACCCTTACAGGGATCTTAGCTAGAATCTGACAAGAAAGCGACTAGAATCTAATTAGAATTATTTTTAGAATCTAATAGGAATAGTGTTGATTGAAAATATTAACATGTTTTGATGAAAAGTACCTTAATGATTGTTTTTCTTTATTTTATTTAAATATATATATATATATATATATATATATATAAGAAATGTCCAGTAATTAGCAATATAGTCTAATATCTAAAATGATAGTGATCTAGAAACTAGTACTAACGCCTAATTATTTATCATTGTATAAATGTTTTCTCTAATAATTAGCGTCCATTATATTCATTGTTTTTAGAGTACAATAGTAGCAGAAAATATTGCCATATTATTTTTCAATTTAGTAGCAACCATAATGACCAGATGAAAACTACAAATTGATTTTAAAATTGAAGTTATATAATTGTAATTGTTGAATACTAAAAATGAAAATAATGATATGAAACATTTTTTAGCAGAAACAATGAGATTAAATAAATATAATCACTCGTGTGTTTATATAAAATTATTGCAAAAGAAATGTTTCAAATCATTCATTTATACACTACCACACACACTTTTTTTTCAATTTTGGATTCGAAATATTTGAAACATACAATTTGAAAATTGGATTTACTGGCGAAATCATAAACTTTTTTTCGTAAATTCAAAAAAGAAAGATTCAATCGATAACAATATGAGAGTTGCAGATAAAGTATTGATTAGATTTTTAAATATATAAATAATTAAATGGTCTTTTAAGATTTCTTCCATAAATATGTACATGAGAAGTT